GCAATTAAAAAACCACGCATCCTAATCTCGATGATTTCTATACTCTCCCTACTATCACAATGAAGTGATGTAAAAGCATGGGAATCACAGATACCGTGGTTTTTTTTGATCTCCAACTTCAGGTTATATGGATTTTTTGTGATAAAATATCAGAGTTGACTACCAGGTTGTTGGGGAAATATGAGAATATCGAAATGTGTGTCACTATTACATCGTTTTTAAAGATAACTGTGAAATTCGAAGTACCATACTTAAGGGTAACCATGAGGTCACACATTAGAATAATCTTTAGGTCAAAATATCATATGTGCGAGTAATTCCAAATTGTGCTTCTGATGAAATATAATTGGGAATGTATTTCTTTTCCAACTTGTTTATTAGTTATTGCTCCTATTGATTCGGATGTTGTTTTTTTTAATTTCTTTAAATATATGACATCAATAACCAATACCGGTTTCTCTTTCCTTCCTTTCTGTGCTATTAACCGGACCATTCTTGCCATACTACTACTACCACCATTCTTTCTTCATTACATCTATTTACCTTACAGAATGCAGTCAGTGTATGTTCTGATTGTGACAATAATATATTTATCATCATATCAATGAAAGGCACGTGCTGTCGTTGTCTTATGATCATAAATTTTAATTTTCTTTTTTCTCTAATGAGAACTTTTAGTTGCAAAAATATAGATGGAAGCAAGAAATAAAAAGCGGATCTTCTTCTGATTTCCCTTTTCATTCCTTTCATTCGCTTTTCAGAAGATTTAACATTTCCCAATGCATTGCTAAAAGTATGAATGATGAAAGCGTACCGTAAGAATAATAATATGTAATTGATTAGAAAGAAAGAACTTTGTATACAAACTTCTAACTATACCTTTTCCTCATCTTTCATTAAGTTAATACAACTATTCGCCAAGTTTCATCTAAATGACTCAAAAATGCGTTGAAGTTTTGGAATAAATGAATGAATCAGTTGGTTTTATATGGAAATATTAAGCACATTTAGTTGCACCTTAGTTTATTTGTTACTATCATTGTATTACACTGCCAACTTCCCTAAATTGCAAACATTTACTACTTCTTTCTCCTCAATTTTAAGCGGTCTTCTTGTAATATGGATTTTCATAACTTTGATACTATCTTGTATTAATTTTGCTTTTTACTATCCGAAAACTACATTTTTGTTTTTATATAACCAAATAAAAAGACTCCAAATGTGTCTTTCTGGCAAATTCCGACAAGTTCAACTCATATACTTAAGTTATTGCTCTGGCAGATAGTGGCAGTAGTTTGTAATATATTCATCGATCATTTTATGAAATTTCAAAATGCTGAAAACGGAAGAATTGGGAATATAGTGGAGAATGAGGAGGGGTAAAATTTGTTTATTTGATCGTTGTCCTCTTCCACTGCCTTCTCATCATTACTATTGTCATCATCATATATTGTTCTTGAATAGCGAATTTCTCCGAATTTCTTCCTTTAAGAGATACCATTAAATTAATATTAGCGGGAAGGAAGGTAAAGGTTGAAAAAGGAAAAGTCGGCTCCTTTTGTTTACTTTTTTAGCTTTCGTTCACTTTTTCGATCAAAGTAAACAGTAAATGATTCATTCATTTGATTCTTTCATATTAACTTTCCTTCTTTATTTTACTCTTCTCTGATTAATCCATTTCTATCAAATGAAAACTGAAATTTTATACGTTAATTGGATAGAGTAGTAGATCATACTGGTTGGTACATGGCTGGCTATCTTACATTTGGTCGATTCGATCGGATGAAAAAAATTCAATTTTTGGTGTGTTTGAAAATAATTCCCTTTAAATTTGATGAATAGTTTGTTCTTCGCTCAATTAAGAAAGGAAACAAAAAATAATGTCCGTCACTTTGGCTTAACTTTAAGCCAATAAAAATTTATAATTTCATATTCAAAAAAGGATTTTTCTCTTCTTGCTGCCACCTCTTCCTTCCTTTCTTTGCAACTAAATTTCTTTCAATTCTTCTTTTCATCAAATACTTTGGCTTTCAATGCTAGTGATAATCATTTTAGAAATATTCAAGTAAATTTGAAAACTTCAAAACTGAAGGATGAATAGATTAAGAGGCGAAAGAGACACATTTTTTATAATTGCTCTTAAAACTGCAATTTCGCTTAGATGCTCTTTCATCTCATTGTGTTTCGCTTCCTGAACTATGTATATCTCAGGTCGTTTTTATATCTACTTTTTAACTGGTCATTTATTCACCTGCATGAGGAAGTCATCCTTCTTTTATATTCCATTCTCTCTCGATACAACATTCATATCCTTCCCATTTATCCACTCCTTCAATACAAGTTTAATTAATTACTTTGCTAAATTTATAATTGAAATCGATTATTTTATAAAATCTATAATTCAAATAAATGCCAACAAATATAAGCTATTTCTCAGATTTCTAAGTAATCTTTAAAGAATGAAGAGTGAGAGATAATTTGAAAAGGAAACAAGTGGAGAAGTATGGATAACCAGAAAATACTAAGTATAACGAAGCCAAATAGCATCGGGCTACTGTGATTAAGCCAAGTCAGATAAATGATAAGTAACTTTTATCAGGTAGATGTCAGTATCGATGAGGAATAATGATTTTTTTTCATTGAAGAACTCCGAAATCCTTGTCTGAAATACCCGATGGATGGAGTATCGTCCAGCAGTTTCTCTTCATTTCTTTTCCTCGTTTTCTTCTCTCTCTCTTCATCCTTTCTTCTCAGTCCTCCTTTTCACTCAAATTTTTTAAATCTTCAAATTTCAGTTTTAAGACAGTATTTCTACTTACTTATCTCAGTAGACAACATGATCAATAATTAATTGGTAAGGGTGAGGAAAGGAAAAGAGGAAGGAGGGGGAAAAGGATTTGAAAGATCAGTGTCGATCGAAATTGAGTTTCTCAGACAGTCTGAAGTAAGGTCTCTGTTTCTCCGTCCTTATTTATGCCTCACTTTACTGTTTCATCCTGAAATCAGACCTCTTCCTTTCCATCTCTCTCTCTCCTTCACTTCATTTTCTCTTCCAATTTCAATCTCTCAAGTTGAGAAGAATACTTGCAAAATTTTTACTGAAATGAATGTGTGAGTGTACGTGAACTTGCGTGATTGACATTTCTGTTGTTGCTGTTTTCTTGTCGGCTACTAATAAACATCCGGAAGCAATATGTCAAGTTTCTTGAAAGTATGCCTACGATTTTAATACTATCCATGATCGATCGTATGCCGAGATACGTACGATACTCAGCCCTTAAATATTTTACAAATGATGTACAAAAATTCATTTTGTCAACATTTTTCAAATTTTCAATAAAAGCTTTTTGAAGTCGCAAATCACAATGGACATCCATAAACCGTTCTAGTTTTTATCTATTCGCATGATTCATTCAGCACAGATTCATTTTTGTCGAAAATCAATATAGTATAGTATACAAAATATCATTGGTTTATTTACTGAAGTAGCAGTCGAATTTGAGCACTTGCATAAATAACTGTATCGTAATAAAATGTTACTATTCATTATATTCCATTAGTTGATTGAATTGTCAAGTATATATAACCTCGGAACGGATATAATTCGGAAGTAAAGAGCTTAGGGTGAAGTCCAGCTCACGTGACTCGTAATTTATATTTATGTCATTATTACTTATTTAATAAAATCGAACCATTTCTCTGATAATTTGATTGCGAATGCATTTTGTTAACTGCGTTGACGCTTAATTTCATTTTCGCTGCTCTTTTTTCATGAGGAAATTTTTACGTAAAATCGAACTTGTGACCTTAAGAGCTGCAGGCATAAATGAAGCAGTAGTTATTCGATCACTTAGATTTTTATGATACCAAAAGTGGAAAAAAAATACAAAACTTGGTTTGCAAATCAATAAGCAATTATAGAAAGAGCTTTCTGCATTTACTTATTTTTCGCCTTCTTCATTTCACTACCCGGTGCTGCATTCAGGTTTAGGGGTACGGTATTTGAAATTTAATATTTTTCACCTTTCCACTGAATAACTATGACCGTCTTCCTCCGTTGCTTAACATTCATCTACTTCATTTATGAGTTTTATAATTGTCCCATTTATAGTTTTATATTTACACTTATTTACCATCCACCCATAGCTCAGCTGTCTGTTTACCTCTCTCACTACCTGTCCACGTACCTTTTATGTGTCTATTAACCACTGTTTATCTACTTTCTTATTCATCCATTTGCCAAAATATTTATCAACCTACCACTGCTTGACCATTTATTCATTTGCTTACATCTGCCGCCCACATATTTGTTTTTCTACATGCTACCTAATATCTCGCCGGGTCAAATGCTCAACTGTGTCTCTGTTTCATTACCTATCTAGTTTTCAAACTCCTTACCTTATTAATTAAGAGTAACTTATCTGCATGTCATTGATATTTTGTATGTGTTGCACGTGTTGGCTGGTCAATCGGTCACCTTTATGAATACATCGGTGGAAATGCCTCTTAAGTGGCATAATGATGTGCAGTGACAATGAAGTATAAACGAATACGTATATATCCGCAGTATACGTTTTGATTCCCATCATAGCTAAGCCACCGCTAATTAGGCTACTGACAACATGCCTATGACGCGGTCGGCGCCTGTTTTATTATAAAATTATTGCACGTTTACTCACGCTATATTATGCAAGTATGGAACGCGAAACATCTTACAAGTAGAAGCTCGCGTTTTCATGTATATTCCTCTAAGTATGAAATTTAAGACTTACCAATGAGAAAGAAAACTTGAAATTGAAACCTTTACTATACATCTTTATATTCTGAAATCATTTAGGCAATACGTTTAAAAAACAATTGGTAAAACGTTTGTTTTTTACGTGACGTGCCGATACACTTTTTATTTGTGCAATTACCATTGGTTGTTCCGTGGAACAAGAAGTGTAATTTTAGAAGCGTAATGCTTTAGAAGTCGTGCAATATTCGTTAGCTCATCATTGATGTCAACGTTGCTTACGAAAATAACGTCTACCAGCCAACAGCTACGTTCCAACTTCAAGGTTAATCTGGCTGAGAACAATAATGATAATGGATGTTGTGAAATGCAGGAAGAACTACCACTTAGTATCAATTCAGCCACCGCAAATCGTTAGTGCTTGCTTACTTAATCTTAGATAGGTCGTGTGAAAACTGTTCGATCTTTCTTTTTCGTCATATCATACCACTGGTTTGCTTACCTTTGCTTGTAATTTTTTTTGGATCGATAAGTGAAGCTTTCCAGCAATTCATTCTCCTTTTGTTTTTATATGTAAGTGGTGATAATTGGTCTTAATTTTCAACATTTTTAAACTTTTAAAGATTTTTGAAGTTCAAATTGGGCTGTTTGAAATGTTTGCATCTAAGACTGAAGCACTTTGAAATATGATACTTCGATATTCAAGACCGTGTGGTAGTGGAAAAGCATGACTCAGAACTTAAATTAAATTCGAGAATTTGTGGGGAAGAGAATGCCGATATTCAATTTTAAGACAGTTCACAAAAAGTTAAGCAACTTCAAACATAAGTCTCAAAAGCATTGCTGAATAAACTATAGTGACAAAATTTATCCCATCATTTCTGTTTTCCAGTACTGTTAGACTACTCTTTCCCTTTTAATTAATTTAAAATTCCAGGAACAAAAGAATCCAAGCTATTAGCGTTTTGTCAACAAATAACTTTACGGAGGGTTTTCCGCTTGGTCGGTTTTAGTATCGGTTCATATCCACTTGCTTATGTTATTGCTGCTATCATAATGTCAGTTATGTCATTCGGAATTTATTATCTTAAACTAGAAGATCGAGTTCGTGATGGTTATACACCAACGACATCACCCTCAAGACGAGAAGCAAATTTGCTTCGAGAATTTACAAATTCGTTTGGTTAGCTTCTTCTTTGTTCATGATTTGAAATCCAAATTTACATAAAATTTTTATGTTTAATTAATATTTAATAGATTTCAATCGATTTTAGAGCTGCTAAGCATTGAATTACTGGAGGTCAGATCGTCAAATGATGATATATGTCTTAAAAAGTTGTTGGAGGTTAATGTTGTGATAATTTGTAAGTTTTTATAGTACTGGAAATTTGAAACTTACAGCAGGTAATTCCTCTACTGACAAGTAACTTTACATTCACAGATATGTATGGAAATTCGTTCTTGATTAATTGTCTCCTTGTACGTTAGGTGATCCAACTTTAACGACATTAATGCTGCAAGCTCGTGATGGCGGTTCCATGCATCGTCTGAAGTACTTGAAAGAAGCAGTTCGATTACATCGATATTTTATGAATAATTTCACTGTTGAAGTGCCTTCTACCGGTGAACGATTCGTCTACAGGGAAATATGCGGGTTTTCATGCAATGCAAATATCGTCATCGAATACTTTCACGTACGTGCGTTCTGTTTATGAAACATAAATGATTCTGATTATGAGATGGATTGAACGAAATAGAACGGTTTGATACAGAGTTCCTTCAGAAATTCTTACCGAGACCTTTGAATCTTTTTTCTTTACGCATTCGCATACTTCCTCCTTATATGCTTATCAAATGTATGCTTAGATTCCGGATGAAAATATGATTTCGAAGTTTTGTCTTCGAAATATAAAATAAGCGCAGTGAGACAAATAGTAAAATATGTATGTAACTTGTAACCCATCTTTCTTCAGAATGCATTATTAGAGGAGTACAAGAAAGAGAAAATGGGCCAAGTACGTAGCGAAGAAACCAATCTCACTTATCCAATTGCTAAAATTACTGGCTTTGATATTCATTTGGAACGTAATTTTTACGGCGTTCGCTTACGATCGTATACTAACAGTGGAAATAATCGTAATAACAACAGCAACAGTAGCAAAGTGGACAGTAGCAGGACAGATTCTGAAGAGACAATCCTGAAAATGATCACCAATATTGAATATATCCAGGTGATATATATGATATATAAAGTATAAGAAACCTGGCATTTATATGAAATACTAATTGTTGCCGCATAGACTATATGTTCGATTGAAAGATCTGAAGATTAAAAGTACAGCTCTTTCATTTTCAAACTGATCAAATCTTATTTGATAATGTCAGCTGCCTCTAGACAGCTCCCAAATAATTTATAACATAATAAGTATATTACTCATTTTCCTCAACAGATGTTTTGGCATTCAATGACTAGAAGAGTGACAAACTTCTTTCAGGTCATTTTCATGTTATTTCAAGGACAAGTAACTAGCAGTAACATGGAAGCAAAGCTTAGTGCCTGGGAAGTAGCTCTGTATGAATATGCTACACAAAGCTATGTTGATCAACCAATAAAAATATTGGTGCGTCCCGAATGTTTCTCTCGTTTGCCACGTATTACTATATGACAATTCAAAGATATTTGCTCTTCGAGTTCCTTATCGTTTTTAAAGGATAGGCTAATCTTTCAGTGAATTTAATCCAAGTTAATGGGGTTCACTATTCAGTAGAAAATTAATAGAAATTTTGAACATTTTCAAATGATTACTTACTTTTCAACACAAAAAGTAATTATGGATAATGAATGATAATCATCATACTGAATAGAGGGAAATAAGAGTTGAATTTCCATTTTTTGATAGAAAGTTAGAACTTTCATTCTGTTAGTCGAGATATATCTTTCCCTCAACCTTTTAATTTCAAGAGAAGAATATAAATACAAAATTACAGGTACTTGGATCAGAAATAGTCAATCAGGAGCTAATCAAGGATTCACAACGGATGGCACCCTATTTTATTGCTGGTTTATTTTTTCTCTCTCTCTCTCTTTCTATTCACTTTTGTATAAGAATGTTGTACTTCATTCATGATACGAATGAAAGAAGGAAAAGGTGGCAAGTATTAATAATGTAAAGGAATGGGTGGATTGATTGAATTTAATTTTTACTTACTTTTATGGAATATTATTAACAAATTTCGATCTAAATTTATATCGGAATATAATAACATATTTCTAGTTCTTTTCTATATTATAGCTTAGTTTTCGATCGATATTTTGTTGCAAATTGCACTGAAATAGAGATTCCAAAAAATAAGACTCTTTTAATTATATAAATTTTTGAATTTTATAAGTTTAAAATTCAACTAATGGATGGTAATGCGTAGTTTGCTATACATTCATATGGAGCACTAATTTTGTAGCGCAACTGTACGCAACTTGAGAATCATTCCACTTTTGAACCATCTACTTTAATCTATCCATAGGTTAGTATAGCGAGCGATATTTTAAAATTTTTTCATAATAATGTCAAAACTTTTTAAAAGTATCGATACATATTGATTGATAAAGACAAGAAGAAATCAGTGATAGACAAAGAATTAATTGCAGTCATGTCAGTATTAGAATAATTGGTTTTATGTAGCGCAACCGAACATATACGTGTTGTTATGCATATCAGTGAATGACATCCATGTTTATCAGTTTATTATCAACAGAAAGAGGAAATGATAACGTTAAATATCCTTGAAATGGCAAAATTTTTGGTAGAGCGAAATATGAAGGGATAATAATTTGCAGTTTTAATTTAAAAGGAAATAAGAGAGTAGAAGCGGGGAAAAAAAAGGAAATGATTTATTGGATACATTTCTAGAAATAGTTTTATCTGTTGATAAGCTAATTGATAGCGAGCAAATTGAACTTTCGATTTCCTTAAATGATTGACCTGGTTGTAAGTTATTTTGTTTTCTGTTAATTAATTTAGTCGTAATCTGTCTTTTTGACAACCAAATCGTATTTGGCATGAAATATCGTTGATACAACGGCGACATGCAATTTGTGCCTTCTAAGCAGCTCGGGCCACATTTGGATATCCAATCCTACAATCAACAATGAATGTGCCATTCCGTCGATTCTATTTTCTTTTCTTATCCCCCACTGCCTGAAGAAAGCTCTATTCTGCATCCACAAATTAAAAACCAAAATTCAAATTTCCTTTTTGATTGACAATAACTCCACGACTTAATGTCTCCCATTTTATTAACAGATTTGTCATTGCCAAGATTTCTTTTTTTTCTCTCTATTATTTGCACCTTCTTTCAATTAGGAGGGGATTAACCTGGTTGTAAGTTGTTTTGCTTTCTATTAATTAATTTCCGTTGTTTTCATTCCGTATTCGGTTCTGATACCGCTGGTATAAATGCTTCATCAATAGTAATACATATTAGCTATTTGGCAATAAGTATAGGTACTGATGAATTTTTTGGATAATGCAACCATATCACTTGCTTATCTGGATCGCTTATTTGTCCAATCGGAATGCATTTAAAAATCTATTCCTTCAATGTAAAAGATAAGCTGATATCATTCCTCATTTACTTATAGTTTGGATAAGAGAAGAGAGGTGAAGAGAGGTGGTTTAACATAAAAATCTAACATAAATTGCAGCGTCAAGAGGATAATTGTGTGAAAACAGAAAATTCTTGGATAAAAAATGAAACACTTCGTTTAATTTTGGAAGACAGAAAATTTTTCAAGGAAATATAAAACCAACCGTAAATTTTCGTCGTTTACCTCCATTGAAAATTTTCAAAATTATCTATTAGTTGAAGATTACATCAATTTAATTTTAGATCTGACCGGTGAAGATAGTGAAAGTACAAGTTTTCCATACATCATTTTGAATACCACTTAGAGATAACTTGTTGAAATTAGCTCCATTTCAGGTTTCTTAGCTATGTTTTTGGTGGTAGCTATCTCAGTACTTGGCAGTGCCTTATTACTTGGTGTTATGCATCCAGCCAAGTTAATCGTTGCACTTGGTGTTATTGCATGTCCTATCCTGGCAATCACCGTTACCTTTGGGTTATTTTCGTTAGCTCAACTCCGAACAAATACAATTATGCTTATTATGCCTTTCCTGGTGATGGGAATTGGTAAGTGAAAGATAAAATTATTTATTCTAACAATGAATGCCATTCCATTTTGGTCAAATTATAACACTATCAAGTAGAAAGAAATTTTAAAAAGGAAGATTACTCTTCTACAATTCATGTTATAAGTAACGTAAGTGAGTTAGATGTAGTAATTATAGTGCAATTATTCGTAACATAATTTAAAAAATATTCGAATTGGATCTTAGAAGTGCTTTAACTAGAAGTCCCGCGAATCACTCTTATCATTTCGTTTGATCCGGTGATCGCACAGAAATTCAGTTTGCCTTAACTAATTCTTTGCAATTGTTCGACCTTCCATTGGTATCTAAGTCGTACACAAATACATACAAATACTTTTTTGTCGAAATGATTCCATGCTTGTTTGTTTCCTCAAGTCTTTTAATGGTAATGTCAGAAACTAATGTTACCTGTCTCATTGTTAGATCATTCGAGAAATTCATTACATATTATAGTTGTGATGCCAATAGCATCCCGTAAATTATGTAACATACGTGATCTCATGAAGCAGTATTATAATGGCACAGATAACTTTCAGTTGTCCGAATTTTCCGTTTATGTTCCAATATCATTGAATCATTATTGATCAGTTTTATAGGCGTTAACGGAGCATTCCTAGTAATCCATTCATGGTTAGGGTCAGCAAGTGAATGTTCTATACCTCAACGACTCGGTTTTGTGTTAGAAGAAGCTGGACCTTCGGTCACAATTTCCACATTTACCAATGTGATCACATTTGGTATCGGCGCATTGACTCCGACACCAGGCGAGTTCGCTTCTTTTTACAAATATTCCCGACCTTTGTCCACATGACAGTGATACCCTCAGTGATTTAATTTACTATAAAAGAGAACAATTTTAATAAATGGTTGTTTATATTTCAATAACTGATTTCGAATAGTTTTCCGTAATGCTCATTTTCGTATTTGGTATCTAATTTCGATAAAATTTGGCATTTTATCGAACGGTGCTAATGTTATCATTTTTCTATTTTAGAAATAGCACTATTTTGTTTTGAAACAGCAATAGCACTTGCATTTGCATATATTTTCACATTGGTTTTGTTGTGTCCACTGCTTTATGTGGCGACTGTCGTTGAACGGACGAGGAAAAAGAATAATGGTTATCCCATGGTTGTATTTTGGTTTTGTTTCATTCCTAATTTCAAAAATAATATTTTGACAAAATTCAGCTTCATACTTTATTGAGATGTCGAAGAGAGTGATGAAAAAATTCCTAAATAAACTACAACCAGCAAATTGGTCGAAGTCGGAAAGATCCTCAGAGCTTACTCGGCAAATAGATTAAGCGAAAATTTCCGAAGTTTTGACACATGGCCGTTATCCGGCATATGTTAATAATTAATTTTGATTAGGAAAATGAACATGCGCTATGCATTAAAAAAAGCGTGTAAATGTGAAATCAATTACAGTTTCTAGATTTAAAATTAAAATGTGAGTCACGAACTTTATTAAGTTTATAGCGAAATATTTTGGTAAAGCATAATAGAGCAATAATAACTTATGTTTGATCTTGCCAGGTTAAACATAAATTAATTTGATGTTGACTGTCGGTTGTTACAGCAGAGTTGATAAGAAAACAACTTCTAGAACTATTCCGAATACTCAAAAAATTGAATATGTATAAATACTTTCGTATGATATTTATCAATTGATATCTTCAGGTTATCATTGGATTAAATTCTATATTGAAGTGTTACTGTCGTCTGATAACATCGAAACTATTCTGTGTGTTGGCTTTCATTGGTATTCTAATCTATTGGTTCTTTAGTGCCATTGGTGCAATAAATATTGAAACACGGTTGGATGTAGAGAAATTGCTTCCAAAAAATTCACCTTTGCAAGAAGCAAATGCTATGATCTCAACCACAGGTAATTCTTTCTATATCCGCTTTATTGTTAATGATCTTATCTTCTTAATAAGGTTGTTGTTTGGAAATATAGAACTAATTAATGAAAACATTTGATGTAGCAAATCTATCCCGTAACCAGAGTATCATTTAATATAGACATGGTAATAATTGTTCGGAGAGTTCGTAATAGATCTTGCTTAGATGTTTCTTCATTAGTATTTGACTGGATTAGGTTTGGATTCGCGCAAACGTGGCTTGATTAGATTACAGTTTGGACGGAATATTATCCTGTAATGATTTTGGTTAACAGTCCTTTGGATATACGAAATGAACGCGTTCTTAAACGATTCGATGCGATGGTCAATGATTTTGAAACATTGGAAAAATGTCGAGGTAAGGGATGGTATTAAGTTAGTAATTTCAATAATGTTAAATTCTTTTTTCGAAAACAATAAGGTTTTCTTAGAACAATTGAATACATTGGAAAAATATCCCATTTAAATATTTCAGGAAAAGAATTTACTCTTCTTTGGTTACGCGATTACAGAACATATTGGTGGGAGGCTTTGTTGTATGATTTTGATTATTTTTCGGATGATACGATAACACTAACAACAACAACTCCACAACTCTCAAAACAAGGGGCAAATTTTGAAAAGGAAATGATTGATTACAGCAAATTGAATGATTTTCTGTTTTCGCCACTTTATAAGCACTGGAAAAATTTTTTAAAATTAAGGTGATATTTTGAAATTTATTTAAAGTCAAGATAATATATTATGTATCCTGGATTTTAATCCATAAAGTATTCTTAACGACCTGTCAAATATTTTCGTTGGAACACATTACCTTTAATAGCCTTTAATACCTTTAATACGAGGTGCACGCTAGGTGTGTTCTATAAGTAAATAAGATATCATGCCACGAAATTTTTGCTACGACAACTTTTATTTGACTTCTTTCACTTAATTTTGTTTTATACTTCTACCTTAAGTTTGCTTTTTACTTGATATTCTCCTACTACAATTTGCATTTTTCCTAACATCTCAGATTCATTCCTATTAGGTTCTTTCAAGTTATTATAAAAGGATTTTCAATCTCTTTCTTCAAAAGGAATGATTCGGATATACCGGTGAAAAGTTTTTGTTTCGTGGTGATATATCAGAATTCGACCAGTTGGAAAGAACGAATTGAATTAATGCAAAAATGGCGAAGCATTGTTAATTCTTATAAAGACTTGAATGCATCTGTTTGGGAGGCTAATTCGATGTTTGTCGATCAAATGCTTTCATTAAAAACATTAGCTTTACAGGTAATAAATTAAATTAAACGATTAAATGACGAAGAAATGTTAGTAACTGACAATATGCATGGAATAATTATGTTATTTCAAGAATGACATGAGGGACAAACTAATAGAATGGTCTTTTTCTAGAATTAATTCCATTAGTTTTTCCGAAGGTAACTGTGAAAGTTCAATGTTTTTTAAGGCTTGTGTTTGGACATTAATTTGCATGACAGCAGTGTGCGGATTATTCATCCAGAATCCATTCAGTGTAATTGTCGCATCTCTTACCATAGTATCCATAAGTTTCGGTAAGTATAATTAATTTATTAGGTTTACTCAAAACAGATTGTCATTGAGTATCTCTTTGATAAAGCATTATGAAAATATCTCTCAATAAGTTAAAAAAAGATAAAGAACGGTTTCTTTAGACAAAATTTAGAGAGTTGAAATATGAAGAGGATGAAACAGATTTCCTGTAAAATAATCTGTAGAATAGAGCTCCCAGATTAGAAGAGCATTTGAAATCACTTAATTAATGAATTATTGACCCACATTAAATTAAACGGTTAAATGATGAAGAAATGTTAGTGACTGATAATATCCATGGTGCAATTATGTTACTTCAAGAATGGATGTAATGCGCTGAACATCGATGCTATCCCTACTAGAAATAACTCTCCTAAAATTTCGGCACAAATTCTGCTAATGTTGACAAGTTTTTCAATGACAAGAATTGAGGACCTAAATGATAATATAATCGTCCATGACCTGATAAATGCAACCCATTTATTATGTATGTATCGACTCCTTAATTTCAAGATGATTTCGAGTCACTTCGGACTAAAGTAATTTGAGCTTTTTACATCTATTCTATCCGTGTTTGAATTCTTATGATAAAAGTGATTTATGAAAGAGAAATGTTACTGCCACCACTAGTGCTATTACTAACAAAGATGAAGGGGCGCCCTTAGCAGGAAGTGCAACAAGTGCTGGGAAATTATTGAAGGCGTGATTGGGTTTTTGTCTTGGTGGCATTTGGATCTTGATCCGGCAACGCTTTGCGCCATATTGATGTGCATTGGGATGTCAGTAGACTTTACCGCCCATGTATCTTACCATCATCAGGTGAGTAGTATTATTCTTTAGGGTTTTCATGATATGCAATTAGGTTCCATATCCATAGACTTTTTTAGCTTGATACATTCTATGTTTTTCATTTACACGTCGTTTCCAAATGGTACAATAAATCTCAGCTTGGCCATGCTGCTGAGATTTATCGTTATTGCATGTTATAGCTCGGAGAGAAAAAAACAATCAAAGGAATAAGAATAACGAAATCACGGTTGGAGAACAATAAGGCACGTTTAGAATACACGTTAAAAAGTGTAGCATGGCCAACACTACAAGGTGGAATCAGTACCGTTGCTTGCATTATACCGTTAGCATTTTTACAGGTTTGATATTTTATGAAATTAAAGATAAAATTAACAAATTGAAATACACTATGTGAAGCTAGTTGTATTAGGCTTTTATTCGTCATCTTATCCTAAATAAGGATGGATTCGGAGTGAGAGAAATAAAAATTTGATTTAGATGAAAATCATTTACAAATTAAAGCAAAAAACAAGCAAAAAAACATTTACGAATCGGACTTGATTATTGTATTTTAAGAATTATCCGAAGACATACCAGGCAATTTTCGAAGTATACAGTAAACAGATATTTGGTAATTTGAGAGGTTTATTTGATGACAAAAATAATCTCGAGATAATGGATCTATCTCATGATCGGTTTGAGTCTAAAAAAACCATATCTTTTTTGTGTCATTTTTCAGAATTATATTCCATTGGTATTTGTGAAAACGATATCACTGGTGGTAATTTGGGGTCTGTTTCATGGTCTTGTACTACTGCCAACATTTCTGTCATTAATACCTCACTTTCTATTGGAATTTAATTGTTATCGGGCAATTTTCGGGAATCATATATTCCATGCCACCGCTGGTATCGATGCTTATAGTAGTAGCGGTGGTACCGGTGATGCTGGTGGTAGCAGAAAGGAAGAGGATAAGGTTGTTCATAATAAGGAAGATAAACATATGAATGCCACTGAACTACGAATACTACGGACTAACGAACAGTTGTCAATTATGATAGAAGCATGACAGACGAATCTTTTCTTCTTTGGTATATTAATCGAACAATGAATTCTTCAATTCTAGTGTGACCAAGTCCGGATCAGGAAAAGTTTAAAGTGCTAGGACAAAAAGACTGTAACTATCGTTCCATAAGAGAATGAATTTGATAGAAGTGCACCTTTTCATTCTTCATTAATCAGTATTCAAAATTGATCATTATTGAATCTGCTCCTCTTTTTTCTTTCTGTTGTTAAATTGGTATTGTAATTAATGTTTTTGTGTTTGTGTTTCCACTGCTATGAAACAACAAGTTAAAGAACATCAAGAAAATTAGGATTAATTTTTGTTTTGTCAAAACGAGAGTGTTTGGTACTTCCGAAACAAATCTTAGACCAGGAAAGGCAAATTCATTATATGCCTCCAGCATAACATATCCAACTACCGAAGAATCTTTGCTTCAAGTCCAAAATTGTTCATTCCCCGGCAGTAATATAATGATTATGTGAGGTCAAAATCTGAAGTTATTTCCATCTTAGGAAAAATCAATAAAAGCGATAATCTTTTTGGACATCGTCTCATTCATCAAGCAACATGATGTGTTGCTTGATGAATGAGATTTACCAGTAGTTATATTTGGAAGGCGCCTTTTTGAAGGTGTAAGGGTACTGAGATAGACATTTCATTTCTTTCTTGATAAAAGGTACCTGGTAACTTCTGACTGTAGAGTATAACTCGTCTTATCCTTTGATTTCCTAAGCCTCTAATTCAGACATTCAGGCTTCGTCCTCGAGATTTTCTCATAGCCGATCGCCGCACAAAACCATTCCATTTAACGCGTCCATATTTCATGAAATTCGTCCACCACAGTATTTTTTTCGGTCCAAGTATTACATGTTAAAGCATAGTCTACATCCCAACAAATTCCTACCGGGGCAACCATAACGCGCGACCCACGAAAGAAATTGACAGAGATATCAATTGCTGTTGCATATTTTAGAAAGTCCAATTTAATGAAAATCAGCAACACAAGAAAAAAATGAATCAGTCAGGCAAAATTCGCGCAAAAATATGAATGACATTTTATCAAATCGCGACGAATGGATATTTTCGAATTGTTTTCCGACGGATAGATATTTCCGAATTTGGATCCCGAATTTCTGGTAATCAATTTCAGAGATTTCCAAACGAAGATCGAAATCCATAGAACACAGAAAACAGTTCTATCGTAAATGTCACATTGCTGATACTGGAAAATACCGCCGAAACCCTAAAATATTTTAGAGTCCCACTTAACTTTTCTGAAAACCTCGCCTTGGCATAAATTTGGGGTCTCAAAGTCCTGCGAGATCAGTACGTTTCATCACGTTTACGGAATTATTATTGGAAAGATTAACTAAGAGAAAGGAAATAAAGTCCGAACCTTTTAAACCTTCAATCTTATTAGTGAATCTGTGTACGATTGCATAGCAAGGTTTTCTTAAATTCGAAAATTCTCTTCACTGATTACAAAAAAAATTAGACGTAAAACACCTCTGCATTACAAAAACTAACTTTGAATTTTGAAAATTAAAGTGTTTTGGCAATTTTTTTCGAAAAATTTCGTATAATAAAATTGCTCCTTTTTTAGATTCAGATTTTTTAAAGAGTAAAAACGAATCTGAATGGAAAGAATTAAGCAAGAGTTGTACTATTATATATCTGTCATCAGCTATCAATCTTGAACTGATTCCCAGTGAAAGTGCAAAAAAGAACAAAATTTCAAGAGAAAAAAATCATAAAACAACTCAAAAAATTCAACCTGAAAGCACATATCTCTCTGATCAAAATGATGATACAAGTAATGAAACGAATTTCCAAAAAAAAAATCCATTTCAACAATTTAAATTATTTAAATATCGAAAGAAATAATAAAAATATTTCAATTGAAGATGAATGAACGCAACAAAAGCAACCCCATAACCACTGATATTTGTAAATTATATAAATCATGAATTAGTACTAAAACTAAAACTCTCCCAAAAAGTTGCAGTTAAGCTAAGGTTTGCTTATAAAACATCGTCACCATAACTATTGACCATCGATTCAGCAACAAATGTCACAAAATCATTCAAACAGTTCATGGGGCCAATGATATTTATGACCATTATAAAATCTCATATAATTCAGCCACAAATCACAAAAAATTAAAGTCCCGTGAAATGTTTCCACACAATAACCTCCACAGATCTTTCCTGGGTTCCGCAAATAATCTTTTATCTTTGACATCATTATGTCCATTATGTAGTCCAAATTCTGCCCGGAAAATATAAACTTTTCGAGATCTACTTTGAAAAATTGTTGCACAAACATTTCAGTCCAAAGAAAAACATCATCATGGATCACGCCTCACATATATTTACAAATATCACGATACCTATAGCAATAATAATTGACCAAGAAGCGTATACAGCAGCAACGAATAAGTGATTCGAGCTTTCTTTCCCTAAGGTCCTTTTCTTTTCCCTAAGGTTCAGAATTTTGGATAACAATTGAAAATCCCTGCTCAGATGATTGTAACAATTGTCTTCCAGCTCAAAACCCAATCCAATTTACCGTATTTAGATTTTCTTAAATCGAAGAATTTGATAGGCACAGATTCTACTAACATGAAACGTTTATTTTCCTATAAGAAAGGAGAAAAATAACTGAACCAGCTACCGGTAAAAACTAAACTTCACCACGTCTAGGACATTCCCATGGAAAAGAAATTTAGCTCAATCGTTGCTCTGGAATCGGCACGAATGTAAGAAAATCCAAATCAAAGAGACAGTCAACGGAAGAACTCCCAGTTGGTAACATTACGATTGCGACAATTAAAAAGGTACCTATCAGTATACCCATAATATCAATTCATTTCATAAGATTTATTATGCTGATAAGAATCGAATCTTTAGTAATCATCGCGATAATGACTTAATACTTTCTTGTAATATGCTAACTTTACCAGGATAAAAAATCGAAAGGATAAAGGTATTAAAACAGCAACAATCAGTAACTCTTCTTAACCAAATCAAGGCTTTAAGTCACCTAAAAGTATCAATATAATTAACATACCCATAATGATTCCCAAATACAAACAACACATGCGCCTACCAAATCACCGCTACCATAACATGCCATAACATATCACATGCATATATATATATATAATATATATATATCACTTCATATCACCAAATGGAGAACAGAACGGAATATATACCTTCTTTGATAAAGACGTTATTTCTTCGATTGACTTTTTGCATATTCTAACAAGAAATTCCTTTGCATTGCTTGCTGTGCTTGCTGCAATTGTCGTACCATCTGTGGGCTACTACTAAACATTGCAGCTGCAGCAGCCGGATTCATTGAAGCTGCCAATGCTGCCAAAGGATTAGCTGCAGCTGCAGCAGCAGCATTCGATGCAACATTTCCGGATGCACTGCTTTGCTGAGCATTTTGAACCGCCTGTGCAAGTGCTGCCATTGCCAAATTAGGTAAACGCTGCTGCATTAACGGATTCCACTGTAGCTGAAAGAAAACTAATTGGTATCCAAACCACTGAAATGAATGCCAAAACAAAACACAGCACACTGTCACAATGAAATGAAAGAATACCCTCCCTAAATTATTGAAATTGCAGAATCCTGTATGTTTCCTCCTCTTTGCACATATTCAGCATGCTGCGAAGTAAGCATTTCCTGGCAGATTTACAGAAGTATTTGCTCCAAAAAAATTACAAAAACACTGTTGGTCAACACAATTTTAATCTTGAACTTGAATTTTTGTGCACATTCCTTTCCGCGCTGAATGATTTCTCATTTCTTTCGCGATTCCAGATATTTCTGCTTTTTTTTAACAGAAAAGAGGAAAAAGAGGATGATTTTTCGTACCTGCAACATATTTGGTGCATTGAGCAAAGGATTTGCCATCATAGCCGCAAGCATAGGATTTGTCTGACGGAGCGCTACCGCAGCTGCCATCTGTTGCTGCAAGAAATTACTCGTACCGGTTGCACCTGCTGCTGCAGCAAGTGCCGCTGCTGCAGCCGCAGCTGCGGCATTCTGCGAAGCAGCTTGTGCTGCACTGCTACTGTTCGTTGTTGCAGGCCTTTTGTATGAACCTGATTTGGTATGATGCTGCTGATGGCTTACCTATAAAACACAGTTTCTTAAAACCTCCTTCCTCTAAGGCTTCCACAACAAGTGAAATCTAAGTGAGTGTAACCAGGTTTATTTTAAAGTGTGAAAATACTTACGGAAGAAGTGGAAGCTTTTGGTGCATTAAGTGAGGCACCAGAGGAGGAAGGTAGTGTTTTTATAGCAGCTGCGCTAAGAGGCGGTGTAGCTGGCGTTGATGAGCGAGGTGTTGATGAAGAAGGCACAGCCGTTTCGAATTTGCCCTCTGCTATCTGCTTTTCCAATTCCTGAAGTAAAATGAACGGTTAACTATCATTTCTACATTACTAACTATCATTTCTACATTAGTTATAGAAATCATCGTTCTTGTCATCCAAATCTTCCAACGATAAGGAAACTGATAAGTCACTGATATCAATATATATTACATCAAAAACATTAATATTGAAGAAACATTAACATTATTTTAGAAACATTATTGTCATCCTTACTTGTTCTTTTTCCATAACTTTATTGAAAGCTTTCCTCAGCAATGCGGTATGCTCCTGGCGTAACTTTTTCTTCTGCGCTGCCTTAACGCATGCGTCACAGTAGAGATTTAATGAATTCTCGTCTGCTCCGATGGCACGCCAAACCGGTGTAAAATCGGTACCACATTCTTCGCATAGATAAGGCCCCTCTGTGACACGTCTGAAAATAATATTTCGTAAAAAATTTTTTTTATAAAAATAAGTGGATCGATAAAGTTTTGAGTTCTTCCAAACTTTAGTCAATGATTACTGCTTATGCAAAGATTTTTTTACTGTAGACGACATATACGGCCATATATGTACATATACCAAATCACCACCTCAGTAATATTCAGCAAATTTAAACCATGCCAGCATCACGTTTGAAAATGTCACCTTGTCATACCTTACTCTGTAAATTCCGATCAAAAGCAATAATTCCCAAGAAATTTCTTTCTACACAAAAAGTAAACTTACTTGACAGCTACTTTATCCTTCAGCAACCTTTGAACAGCGATATCTAGACCCAAATACATAAGAAAATCAGGTTGATTACCGTTAGGGATAAAATGCATATCCGGAGGTGGAGGTCGTGGAGGTGGAATCTGAAATTAAGCGGATTTAACCTCTGTTCGAGAAAATATGTGACTGATTAAATTTGGGAAAGAAAAAAATCAAGAGAATGTCCGAATGAATGTCATAGCATCAAAATTATCAAAAATAAACTTTAAGGATATCCGGAAATTCGGAGGCTTACTGAATTTCAATTTGTTTTACAAGCAAAAATTACGGTAAAATGTTAGTAAAAAATTTTGATAGAATTTGCCCTTCTTCATTCATCCCATATTTGTTTTTTACCAGCTATAGTTCAGAAAATTCTTGGAATATTATTAAATGTAAAATCGCTAGCACTTAAAAAGACATCGTATATACTGACTTGCAATAACTGTTGCTCCAACTGTCTCCGTAGTGCAAGTTTAGCTGCAGCAGCTCTTTGGGCAGCGGTTTCCTTTGCGGCTAATGCAGTTGCAGCACTGTTTCGTGAATGATGATGTTGCTGATGCTGCTGTTGTTGATGTTGTGAAAGAAGTGCAGCGGTTGCTAAAGCTGCTGCGTGTTGAGTTAAACGACCTAAAGTTACTTGTTTTACGTTCACGATATTTAATCTATATTTAATGCAGTGTAAATTTTCACTGCACAGTACAATATACTTCTAAACTGCGCACAACCAATCTCTCAATACGTCCGCTTTTCTCCATCATTCTATTAGTAATTTCTTGGAAAGATGGCCATGTTTGCATCTAATACAGCACCTTCAATAAATCTGAACACCTTCAAGCAATTATTTTCTGATGCAACGCTAATTATACAACAGTAATGGTTAAAGTAATTTGTCAACAAATACTGGCTCTCTAAAAGCGTAATTCAAACAAAACAATGAGAGATCATCTACACAAAAATTATTAACTTACCATTATTAGCTTGGGCTTGTTGCTGAGCTTGTTGCAACAACGCTTGAGCCGCAGCTGTATTTAACAAGCCACTTTTAGCTGCATTCTGTAATAACTGCTGCTGTTGTGGTGTCAAGTTCAAATTCATCAGTGCCGCTGCAGCCGATGCGGCAGATGCAACTGCACGTGGCGATGCGTTAGAAGTTGACGCTGTAAATTCTAACAAAAATAAAATTATACATAAAATAAATAAAATAAAATATAAATAAAACGTAAATAAAATCATCATGATAAACAAAATATGTCAATGCACCTTATTTATGCTAACTTATTAACTTAATTAAAAAAATCATCGTTTTTCTTAGGAAATGCGTTAATTGCTAACCTTTTGAATGACTATTTGATGTGGATCGATTTTGTACAGCAGCAACTGGCGGTTTATAAGCATGGCCACTTCCATTCTGCGCAACATTAGCCGTCAGTTTTCGAATATTTGCTTCCTGTATCTAAAAAAATTGATGACATACGGGTTATCAGCAATTCGTCAATACTACCTGGTGTTTATGTATTGTTTTCCATGTGACTCAAACACAACAGAAGTTAGACCTAATTATTCGAAACTATTTTGGCTAGTTCCCTGAACTCATAATTTACCCTCCCGTACGTATTCTCTGTCCACGCATCGTCTTGTTGCACGCTAGTCTAATAGACATGTTTCTTCCAGCTTACCAAACATTATACTTTAACTTTTTCTTTCATCCTGTATGCTATAGGAAGTCTCACATTATTAAGTAAGCAACAGCTTTTCCAATTTATGCGATATAATTTGTAAGTGTATCTGATAGAAATCTCAAACGAATGCTCACGATCCAATACATCAATGAATTACAAGAGTTATTGAAAGTCTCAAAACAAGCATCTGTTAATGAATGAAATGTGAAAAAGAAATATTTAGAAAAATTATACATTGTATGGTTGATTAGTGGTTTAACACTACCACCTCAATAGCAATACTACTATCAGTAACACTACTATTCACCGTCTCTATTACCTGCTATTGCCATAATCTTACCACTGATAAGTTTGTAAAGAACCTGTCTCACGGAATGTTGTTGACTTATTCGTAGTTTTCTGAGCATAGAAAGTTTCGCTTCCTCCCTCCTTAGCTCAGCTTCCAGAGTTTTAATTATCATTTCGCGCTCCTTCTTTTGCTCATCTGTTTGTTCTCGATGCAGAGTCTGCAATCATAAATCACTAAACCCCACCCCATCTATCTATCCTTCCATCCACTGAGGCCTACCATACATTGATTTTGTCAGTGGATGGGATAAGTGAAAAAAAATTGTTTTCGTCGCTTTGTGAAATGAAACGATTTTTAACCCAACCAGTTAAATATGATATCCAAACTTACCAAATTTTCCGATCCTTTGTTTTGGCAAATCAAAAATTGGGATTTCATATTCAATGAATTTCCTAAATAATTTCTTTCCTTTTAGTTCATTTGAGAACTAGTGTGTTTTATAATATGTGGGAAAGCTACCTACCCGATCAAAAACCTTTTTGACTTGTTCGAATTCTGTATCATTTAAACTCGATAATTCGGATTCATCACTCATCAGTAACACTTCATCATTTTCAACTTTAATTCCAAATTTACAGTCAGTTTGGTCTAAGGTCCGACCTTCTGCATAACGCTTCTTCTTCATAAGTGGCTCTTCATCGTCATTTTCGGCTCCAGAAATGTAACCCTCGCCCTGTAATCATAACAAACCCATAACTGTTAGTCAAACTTATTTGAGAGCCAATTATTAAAATAAAAAATTCAGCACAGCAATCGAATGATATACTATTGATGGCTTAATTAATGCAGAATGAACTCGAAACCATTCTAATGTTCATTCAAAGCATTCCGATAATATATAGAAGACTTCTATAAATAGCTCATGGGATATACAGTTAACTTCAACAGGAATGCAAATTCAGTGAGAATGACAATAGACTATTAGGTTTCTAAAAACCATTAAAGAAGAAGAAATTTAATCTGACTAATAATAATTCGCTAATTTGGAATAAGGGAACTGAACAGCATTTCTGAAGATACATATCTTCAAAAATTGTTGCCGGATTTCAAAAATTCTGCGGGAGAGTAGCTAAAGTAGGACTAAGGAGACACATAAATAGTTCGCACTAAATCAATACCCCTGACCATTTGTAAATCGTAAAACATGAAACACATCTTTGATAGTTTTCAATTGCAGTCTTTTTTCTTATACCGTCTTTTTCATTCACGTCGGAAGAATCCGTGAATACTTACGCTGTGAGATGCTACACCGTCCATCACCGGTGTTAGCGCTTCCTTTAGCTTGATGCGCTCTGCAGCTTTTAACGCACATGCGCGTGTACTCCGACGTAGCGACGACGGCGACACATCACCGTCGCTAGCTGCTGGTGTCTTTACAACCGCCGCATCTCCGTTTCTACCTTGATCAATGCATGATGACGCTGACTCATGGCATATTCCATTCTAGAAAATGTAAATTTTCATAATGATTCTATCAATACTTGGAACTTGATATAATTAAATCAAAGTCAACATGAAACTTCTATGAACAATAATTATTTTACCAAATTCTTCAGCAATTTGGACCGATCACCTCACATGAAATTTTGGAAATTTCAAAAAAAAAACAAAATGAATTTATCAAAGAATCCCTTACGAACAAAACTTAATTGAAAATTCATTTTGTTAGAAAAAGCAAGAGCTTGAGAGTTTTTGAACTTTTTGAAAATTCACTCCAGAATACTAATCCCAAATTTCTGCACAACTTAGCATATGACACTTCGGTAACTTCAGTTTATCACTGCTCTTTAAGAGCAAGTGACTATGCAGTAACACTACTTCGACCTTTGACTTCTTGGACTAAACTTTGTTTTTTTTTTTTTTTTTTTTTTTACTGACTTCAAATGCAATCCAAGAATCTCGATTGTCCCCACTAGTGCCCCAAAGTGAAATTCTGCTCTAAGTTTGCAAAATTTAACCAGGCAATTATTTTTGAAAAAACTGAATTAATTTGTCGTAAACATTTTAGATCAATTAATTACGAACCTCTTCAAAACCATTGAACGTTTCCGCTTCTAAAGTATGCACATCAACTGCACCATTAACCCCTTTTGAGGTACTTTCGGTTGTTGACCGATGCTCCGATTTCGTTGCCATAGTTCCGGACGTGTTAATGAATGGTTTTGTGCATTACCAACTACAACAGTTTGATGAATATTGATTTATGAAAGATGTCCGTCACGACAATTATTTCGGCTAATCGCTGAACAGTGCAGTGCTAGTTGCATCCAAAAACTTTTTCATCACAATTTCCGAGAAAAAACTTCATAAAATGCTATGTGACGACATTTGAAATATTCCAAAAATTCCGGAAACGTTGCAGACGTTAACAGAAGCCAAATCAAAAATAACAAACTTTAAATTTCTGATCACTACAAATCATATTTCTAAAGATGAAAAAAGACAAGGAACACATTAGATGCCTTAAGAAATAAGAATGAAATATGAAACAAATTCAATGCGGTTTAAACTGTTATCAGAGTGATTTAAACCATTTCTACCAATAGAAAAACGATCCCTCTAATAAAAACTTCACATTAACACCGCATTAGTGCCCATATTCATGATATTTGATATGGATCCAATCAACAGCAATGCAAGAAATAATAGCATCTATAATGCTACTATAATGTTAGTAACAAATTTTCGTTTTAAGAAAAGGAATGGAAAAATACGTTTCCGACAATCGACCGGACCAAAAACGGAACGGACGGATGATGTCACTGAAAATGAGGCAATCTTAATACACTCTGGGACAAATGTACAAACACCGATGGAAAGTCCTGAAAAATGAAACAAATTTAATGAGTACATACATATACACATACACATACACACATACATACATAGATATACACACAGACATGCAGACAGACAGGTGCGTACATAAACAACAGGCCACATATGCGGACAGATAGACAGATAGACACACACACACACACACACACACACACACACATACACATATAGTTCGAGTTTCGTCGATAATTTATGAACACCACAAGCACACCGCCGATGATATGAAACAAAAATCGATATGCGAAACGCTGCTGACAAAAAGGATTGACGCGTCATCACGTGTTTGTCTGTGTATATGCATGTATGTGTCTGTCTATGTATGTCATGCATGTTATACATTCATAACATGTAATGCATGCATGCTGCTACAAGCTCCCATACTTTACTCCCTAAGAATGAAATAGAGCTACCTGAATCCACCCATCTATCCATATGAATTCCCGAAGAAGTTTGCGTGCCTTTTACTGACGAGTGTATGTGTTTGTGTGTATGTCATCATTTCCGTCTATACCTACGGTGGCGATGTGCTGCATGTCATTGTCCTCCACATCTCCGATTTTAACCCTTTACGGACACCTACCAAATGCGCCTTGGTGACAGGTATGTAATAATCTCACATAGCTAAGAAATAACTTGAAAACTCGCTCTATTTACAAAATGATGCTCTATAATAGTGGGAGAGGAAAAACGTGCTCTAGAGAAAGTGCCCAGGATTGTCATGTGCGCTCTTCTTCATACTGTTTGACAGTGATAGTGACAAAAGATTAAAATGGATTAGACTTCTGCAATCCTAACTGATAGATAATACCATATATCCTTTATAGGATGAGTAATATTGATGTGGATAGTATTGGTATGAGACAGCTATCTAACAGAGCTTTGAGATGTCAAAGGTTACTTCACATATCTACACCGAAAGTTTTTCTTTTTATTTCATTGAAGTGAGGGGACAAATAAATAGTGGATATAGACGGAAAGATATAAAGTAAAAATAGGCTGAAGTAATGAACGGAGTAAAGTTGAAAGCTGAAAGGTAAGCTTCTTGGGTTAGAGAAGTGATATGTTAAGCGGAAAAGGAAACCATCAAAGTTTAAAGTGAGAGAGGAGGATGAGATTCGAGTTGAAAGAAGGACAGATTTCTGATGTCGAAAACACTTTTACACAGTCTTTGATTATCCACTGGAAATTCAATGAGAAAAAAGAGAAAATGGCATTCATATAGTTCCCAGGGCAAAATTGATAAATGCCGCCATATACATCACATTCACTACTTATCCCTACATCAAAGACCGTTATTGAATCTCTTGGACAGAAAGGCTGTTGGATAGCCTAGAAGATCGTATTGAACCTCTTAGACAGAAGAAAATCTCGATCCACTCTCCACAGCTGCTTCGTTAGTAATGACAATGACAATCCTTTGTCTTTTTCTCTTAGTTTATTGGTAGTTATTAATTTTTCGTTTCTTATAGATTCCTGCTCAGATGTGCATCGGAATTCTGTCTCACCGCGATATACGAGCAGCGAACGACTGGATTACTATGTATTAACTGCTTAAACATGCTGCAAATTTCTATGCGGAATAAAACCTACTGGATTAAATTTAATTAGGCATACTCGTCTGCTCATTCCTTCTTTTTCTGTCCAAGAATGATGCAACCGAATAATTGAAAGAAACTTAACCTCCCACAGATGAGAAGACTGTCACCAAAAATTTATCGGAATTTCGATTTGTGCAACCAACAGATTTACATAAATGCAAATGATATCAATTTCGAGGCACAACAGAAACAGAAGGACAAACGATGGTGAGGGTTGATTGCAGTACAGAAGAATTTTGAGATTTTTCGATATGTGAAATATGAAGCTGTGAACTGTGAAGGAGTCCACGAGAGAGATATGTAGGTTATACATAGGATTCTACTCGTCTACTACTAGTACAAGTTTGAAAGTTTGTTGATTCTTCATTTTAAAATGGATCATTTATAACCTCCACTAACTATATATCCTTATATTTCTCTGCTTTCCCGTTAATATACTTCTGCAAATAGAAAATAAGAGGTCATAGTCGGATTATTTAAATTATGAATAGTAAACGTAATAAACGTAATAAACTTGCCAAGATACCTTTTAACCCTTTCCTCATCCTTCAGCCTCCTCTCTTCCTCTCCTCCCTTTAGAAATTTACTCCCCTCTCCTTCTTTATCTTTTCTTCTATCCACTATTACAGGTAATGACAAGAATGATAATAATATTTCAATCTAATTATGCTAGGTAATGATAAGAATGATAACAATATCTCAATCTAATTATGCTTGACCTCTGCACGTAGAATCGATTGATTAATCTTAATGATGAGTTGTGTGTTAATACTATTACTCTGCTCTGTACTACTTAAAACTGATAATATGATAAATTTGATCAGCATATTGTATCCAATGCTGGACTGTTTTAGCAATAAATTTGTAATGAAAAGAGGGAAACTAAAAACTAAGACATCATATCATCTTGGAGTCTTTTCTCTTAGCAGTGTTAAAATTCGGTTGAATTGAAACATAAATAACTCCAGAAAATGGAAATCACTGCTACATGTATGGCTGAAATAGGTGAACATTACAGGTCAATTGTATTTATCGATATTGAAGAGTTTAATTACGTCAATACAAAAGACATATTGACAAAGTATTCCATATGAACACGTGATGAATGAGACTTTGTTGAAAAAACTGCAAGAAAAAAACCTACTATTTTATGCGAATAACGTACGTATGTGTCGACAAAGTGAAGAACAGTAATTAATAATATCAAGTGATAATGCTGATGGAGTGATATGAGCAGAAATAGGGAAAATAACGGATAGGAAGCAAAAAAACATTATCACAATCTCTACCCGAATTATCGGGCAGTTAGTGAATGACCTCGATATACACATATACATAAGAACTCCATCACACTGCTATTTTTTAATCGTCTTGTTACTAACTATCATCATGTTTATATAATCAAACTGCCACTATTAATTACTAATTAATATTACTGGTCAGTAAATGAAGAAATGGTAGATGCAGATGCTAAACGTTAGTGGTAATTTCAGTGTGTGAGAAAAGTATACAGTGATCTTCTTTTAATTCCTTTTGATCAGCTACAAGTGATTCAGAATGATTGGAGGAGAAAGCAAGAAGTGATGAGAGCTTCCTAAACCCAAGACTATATCTCCTACATAAATATTTTACTTCCACCAATGCTGAAGTTGTGAGTAGTACATGAGGCCATCTTAACCAGTCCCTTCTCTCTTCATCTACTCCTAATTGTACCACTCACGTTCGGAATTACAACCTCCTACACTTGACCTATACCAAACGACTATTTATAATAATCTTGTGAATTTAGCTCAGTAGATGAAATAAGCTACTGAAGACAATCAACTGTGTATGTATGTGTCGGTGTCCGTCGGTATGTGTATGGGCAAAAGAAAGATGGAAAAGTAAGGATTAGCAGTCGTAGTATTAGTTGAGGTGAGACAAGCGGTCGTGCTCGATGTATATATGTATGTACGTATCTGTGTGTGTATGTGAATGTATGTGTATGTCAGTGTATGTGTGCAGCTTAACTAACTAGTGCAATTCACCATCACTCAATAAATAAATAAATACAGCAAGTAAAAGGGGACCAACGAACGGACAGAGTGACGAAGGAGCCTTGAATGATCGTCATCTGCGGCGTGGCTCTCCTCCCGTTCAAATTCATCAATTTCCTTTCACTCATTATTAAGCTACAGATTCCTATTTAAAATGTTGCAACTTTTTAATGCACATATACAGATAATCGATTAGGTAGTAATTAACCAATTTTCACAGATCTATCACCACATTAAAATATCAATGCACGAAAAGGTGTGGTGGGATCCTTCATTCCAGATTAACAACAAGATAGGTCCATAGCTTATGTTTTCAAAAATCTATAGATCAAGCCGCCCCGGAAACTTAATCTGATAGAGGTGTGATCGAAACGCGTCACCATCTTTCGTGGTTAATTACGACGTACAGTTGTGTCGCTACAGGAGATTGCACTTGTCGAGATATGGCAAAACGTATCCGCATGAAGGAAGTTTGGTTCGAAGACATATCAACAGGGCACAAACAGATACAATGCCATTAATTCCCGATTAATTTTAAAAGAAATTGAATCCCGCAGATTTGTTGGTAATGGTTGCAGGATACTTGTGTTTAATTTTACAACTTTTAAATAAAATAATATGGAAATCCATCTATGGTATTCTAAGCAATCAATATTACACAGATAATGCAATACTTGATATCCTACTGTTCCGTAATCCTTCTTCAAACATGAGGAAGCTAAGCTTTTAAGACCGTGGTAATCTTTCAATTATCTGAAAGTTGCGTTTCAATTATGATTTAAAATGAAATATTCTGAAATTTATGGAAAGTGCCAATCATTTTCCCCAATATACTCAGCGATATCGTTTTATTTTTAGAAAATTGAAAATAGAAATGATAGTATGAAAAAAGAAATATGTTTAAATCGTAATTTGTGGGAATCTGTAAAGATTAATATATATCATTTGATTGTCCATCCAAGCACTAATTAACAAAATTAAATAATGCTTACCTCGGTAATCTGTGCAACATATCTTACACATACTGCAAAAAAATATCTTACGAAGACTTGAAGGATTTAATCAATAAAATCTTGCAAACATGTCGTTAAGTAAATGATAATGTTACTGTGTTGACTAACTTACTTTCTGATCTGGTTAACCAGACTTTATTGAGTAGTCTTAACCCATGGAGAAAGAAATGTTTGAACTGTCAGCAATTACTCAAAGTTGCTTACTGCTATCATGGAGTATTAACTTAGCTTGAAATATCTACCACTTTTGTAGTGCCACCAACACACCACTTGACTTATTACCATTAAATGAATCTTGAATCATTCGAGAAATACTTATCCAACTAGCAGAATTATATTACCTTTGAA